TTGATGTAAATATTTGATACTCAATATTTTCGATCATAAATACCTGAAGAAAACAGAAAAATTTCAGGGGAGGCGTAGCCCCCCCCCCCTGAATTATCTCTGGGTGGGCGGTCGCCCCCACTGCCCCTCCCTCCCCGGTTCCACGGCGCCTACACAAAAGAATATTTTGCACGCTTTCAGCTAGATTGTTTATGAATAAAATACGATCGCGCGATGGATCTCAATATATTTATAACTTTCTCCGTCTTCTTTCTTTCACCCGTGATGCGTCGACGAACACATAGTCGTTCGTCCATTTACCCTAATTTGTCCCAAAAATATCAATCTCCAATCCCGCGCAAAGCTGTTCCTCGCAAACGCGAGGTCACTCTCGCTCGATCGCCGTTTCACGCAATATATCTCTATATCGAGATCCGAATATACGAATAGGGAAATCCGAAACGCACCGTTGACCTTTCGGCTAATTTGTGGAACAATGATCGCTTAAATCAAATTTTCGAATTGGCCGACGGGGCGCATTGCGGCATTGCTGATCTCCCCGTCTTGACGGCGAATAAAGCGGCGAATAAAGCGTTTCCGTGTCGCACGCTAGAGGCACGCCGATCTTAATTAGTCGCCCTTTCCGCATAAAGCCGCGAGATGCGCCTTATCTGCATCACGCCGATGCATCGTTGACACGCCGCGTTTCTCTTGTCGCGACCTCATAAAAAAGAAGAAAAAAAAAAAAAACCGTAATAAGCAGTGGGGTGTAGCAGAGATAGGCCGGCACATTGTATTCACGGCCGGAAAAGTCTCTTCGCTTGGCCGAACTCTCGAAAAGGTCGCCGATCTGTGAAGAGGCACTTCACCTCGCGTCCTCCCCTCGTCGCTCGCGCGCCTCGCCACTTATCACCAATCCTTTATCTCACCCGGTTCGCTCTTTCTCTCTCCCTCTCTCTCTCTCTCTCCGCCTCTCTCACCCTTGAAACTGCTGACACGGAGAAGGCAGGGTAGCGACTAGCCGGGCTCAATCCGATCGATCTAACCAATCACCGAGTCGACTGACACGCTTGTCACCTGTTCAGCTGTGCAAGCGCGCGCGTGTATTGTGTGTCCCCGTGAATACACACATCCGCGCTATCTAGGTGGACGATAGACAATTACAGTAGCCGTAATGAATTACGGCGTGCTATGTGAGATTTTGCCTGACGAGGGAGAGAAAGCCGGGCGCGCCGGACTTTGCGCGAAAAGTACAAAAAAAAGCGCTCTCTATGTGACTAAGCGACTAAGAGGATCACGAGGATTAACTTTTATATCATCTTAGGGATAAAGCTCGAGCTAAATTCTATAAATTCTATGAGGGCGGAGAGACAAATTTGCGAGGCACACAATTGAATGCGAAATATAACTGAAACCCCGCCAGGCGTGTACATTGCACACCGCCGAAACTTCCGCCCACAGAGACAATTAATTAAGGGAACGGACGGGAAGAGGAACGGGACCTCGGGTTCACAGAGGAAACCCGCGGGTACTTCAAAGATCCCAGGGACGATGTTATTAAACGAAGGTCATATTCTGTTAAGATAAAAGGACGGCGAGAGGCGCTGCGATCCCTCGCAGACGCGTTTGTATTACGGGCATCCAGCTCACCGGTAATATAATCTGTGACATGTGTCAATACTAAGCTTTGACACCCCGAAAGCTTAGTCGAGCGAAAACCCTTCGTTCTTTCACGCGCCCGTCTCCTTCACTTATCGTCTTAAGACACGAATTGGATTTACGGAAACGGGAAACCACCTGTCAAGCCATCTCTTTGACTTTCGACACTAATATAGAGGTAACCAGGAAAAAGATAATTACAATAAGATCGGATCGGCGAGTCACATAAAATTCAGAATATAGAATACGCGTGAGAACAAACCGACGGATAATTAAATGCGTTCGACATACCGCAGCTCTAATTCTATATTAATTAATACGTAGAAAATAAATACGAGCATTTTACAGAAAGTAATATTACAAATTTAGATAAAAAATAATAGTATAGAGAAAAGAAATGTAAAATGCGTATAAACCTAACCTATATATACTTGACCTATATTTAAAGCGTCTCTCTCAGCTAGTTTAATTGAAGCGATGCACGTTTCCTACAGCGAAACATTCACGGCTTAAAGCAACGTGTGCTACAATTTGCTACAGGATATCATCAATGTACGCCGGAGGCTGTTGCTCTTATCATGAAACACTTTGTTTTGTTCCGAAGTTCTCTCTCTCTCTCTCTATCTATCTCTCTCGCAAGTCTTCCACGTGCGTCGATCGATCTCGCCGGTAAGTTCGATGATTCTTCACAAATTCACGGGTTAATCTTCTATCACTCGATTTTTTGATGTCTCCTTTGATTATTATTTTCACAACTTTTTGGTGACCTTAACACAAAACACTTTGGTCAATATTTGAACATTTTGGAATTCATCCTTAATAAATGATAAAGTGTAAATAAGAGAAGAGCCACGAATAAAAAGTGACGTTTCTTAATATTCTCTATAAATATTAAAACCCTCTTTCATATATTTTTGTCTTCTGTATATAATTTTTTTCTCTTTGTTTACTATCTCTGACATGTTGTGAAAAATTCCTAACGTATGACGGAAGAAACTTCTTCGGTAAAACGATAAATCATGTTTACACGTTGAGGATGGTTAAAAAAAAAATTGTCATTAATAATAATACTAAGGCTTCACTAAATTAACAATTAATATTAGAAAAAAAGGCGAAAAGAGCCGTTGCAAGTTGTTCGTGCGATGTTTTATATTATAAAATTACAAAGACAAACGTTTCTGTCTATGTTAGACCTTCATCAGTGTCATTACAAATAAAACTTATGATAAACGGTTTCACAAGTGTCGAAGCGCCTTACAAACAAATAAGACGATATACGCAAAATGTTCTTGATGACAAATAATTTCAACGAAAAACTATTTTCCACATAGCAGAATTGATAAATTGGCATTGTTTTTAAAATGATATATCATTTTAGCCATCCGACTTAGTTAAACTATATCTGCAATTTTAATTATGGACTCTACGAATTTTAAGAAACTCTCCATGCATTATGAAGGCATTCTGTTGAATAATTTTGGTCTTTGACTCTTCCATGGTTCGGACATACAGTTTCGGATTAAAAACAATGCCAATTTATCAATCCTGCTATATGGAAACTAGTTTTTCGTTGAAATTATTTGTCATCAAGAACATCTTGCGTATATCATCTTATTTGTTTGACGCTTCGACACTTGTGAAACCGTTTATTATGATTTTTATTTGTAACGACACTGACGAAGGCCTAACATAGGCAGAAACGTTTGTCTTTGTAATTTTATAATATAAAACATTGCACGAAGAACTTGCAATGGCTCTTTTCGCCTTTTTCTCCTAATATTAATTGTAAACATAACTATGTTAATTTTTGCTTGGTATATTTATGATATTTCGATATATAAAACAGCGATAATAATATTTTCCCTCTTCACGATGCTTATCCACGTTTGTTTAATATCTCGCGCTATTTATTATTAGTTATCGGTCTGCGTTCATTATATTTTTAGTTTACGAAACTATCTTACGTAATTGTCTCATTCACAACGCGGCCGTAGCCTTGAATGCATGTCCGATGAAATGAAGCAACGAAAATATATGCAAAGTAAAGCCATCAGGCCGCTACAGTGTTAACATGTTTCGTAAGCTAATTAATTCCGTAACTCAGACTGCGAGGGAATCCGGAAACTATTGACACTGTTTGCTATTTCCTACCTAATAGTTCGCCTCGTGTTCGAAGCTATATTAATATTTACTCACTCGCGCACGTGTACGAAATATCTATGGATTGTTATATATTGTTCGTAATGTATCTAATTTCCCAACAATTTTCTGTCTGGGACGCAGAGCAGAGCCTTTTATCGCCACCATAACGCATTACGCAAACAATCGATCTTGCGAATCCTCGAGATTATACGCCGGTGGCCATATGGCGTGGAATTATTCATGAAAAATATTTAAATTGATTCCATCCAAATGTTAGATCGCTCCGCGGGCTTTACATTCGTAATTAAAGGAAAGAAATGCTATTAAAAAGTACGATATTTTTACTAAAAAAGACAATTAAAAGAAAAAGAAAAAAGATAATTAAAAGTCTTTATGCAAGGACTGCTTGATAATCTTTTACTCTCTCTTTCTCTCAGAACGTTCCATTAAAAATGTTCGATAGAAATGATGTTTTTGTGTACCATATAATAACGGGAAAAAATAAAGCTTTCCTCGCTGCGCGCTAAATTGAAACCGCGGAAATTATTTATTCCGGAAATCATTTAAATCTACGTAAAATGCCACGAGCTTAATTTCTACCTTCCTGAATTCACAATTTCTAAATTGTGTCTAAATAGTTCGTCGTCGCGTTACACGCGACCTAAGATCCGTCAACTACTGCAGGACTAATCAGCCTGAACAATGCTCGTCCCTACTCCCGTCACGGTGAAGGAGATACGCGATAGCCTGAAACGGAGCGAGCTATCCTTTACGAGAGGTTCCTTCAATTATCGTACCCCTCTCAGGTCCACGTCGAGACTAACTGAGCTCTTTAATAAATTCAAAGCGTATTGCTCTCTGCACTACTGTAGACATTCTGAAAGGAAATACACAAACGTTTCTCGTTATTTACAATCTCTAAGTTCCCCGTTAACGCTATATGCATAAAACTGAGCATTCGTGAAAGTTGAGAGAAGAACTTGGTTTTCCTCTGTAAAGAGAGCCGAGTCTGATGATGAGTTTGAGCTCGCGCAATCGAGTTGCGTAAACAGATATTGTTTTTAATCGGTTTAGGATACTCCAAGTCCCACTTTCGTTACCTTTTTTTCTTACTTCAATCGATCTTTATTCGTTCTTTCACTTTTCGTGCATTATTCATTATCATGAGATAATTACACTTCTCTTGAACTTCTCTAATGTATCCGGCCTTCGTTTTATTTCTGGTTTTTCCATCGGTACGTGTTCCGCGAACTCTTGGTTGATCGAATTACTTCTCATGTCCTTTCTCATCCGTGTGACGCACACGCGAGAATAGTTTCACACGACTCTAATCCGGAAAGATTGTTCGGGTAATCTCGTTATTGTATATTTTTCTAAACAAAGCCCTAGAAAAACACAAAAACACACAAATGTTTAATTAATATAATGTTTCTCGGACAAAAGGCAATTTTGTAAATTGGTACGAATTATACTTGCGCTTTTTTTTTATCGTAGAAAAGACGATAATTTTGAAAAAGGATAAAGTTGAAGTATTTTCGCGGTTTTCCATTTCTAAATTATTGGCCGTTGCATTTTCATGACAATTACGTGATTATAGCCGGTGAGAGGACACCGATCACTTTTACGACGTTACCGCGAATCCACCCGTCCGCTGAGTTTTGGGGGTGAGTCACGCTTGCGCAAGTCCGGCAAGGTGCCGGAGCCAGAACGACGTGCAACAACCATGCGAGCTTCAGTTTTCGCCTGGGCCTCGCCGCGAAAAAAGCGTCCGCTCGTGGACAGAGGACTCCCTCGTTCCACCCGGGATTCGCCTCGTGGTACTAATCGCTCGTTTGAACAGAAACGCACACTTCGATCATGGATTCGCGTCGCTCGATAGCGGCGATAGCGGTGCATTAATCGAATGAGAGTGAAAGCGTGATAGAGTTGCTAAACGACTATTTTGCATTTTACTTATCATACAGCGTGCAGAATCGATAAATTCCATTGACACATCCGTCATTTGACTCGCCTCGCGCTAATTAATCGTTCGTGCGTTATTTTAAACTCCTTGTAAATTGATCAAAAATTATCAAACAGTCCCCCATTCGCGCTGTGCAAAATCTCCTTTGAGTCTTAACGGAGCGCAAAAAGCTAATTGCGAGCCTGCATTTGCGTATGTTTGAAACTCGTTGATGATTGGATTCGTCGGCCAGGCTTTTCCCACCAGCAAGTTTGTAAAGTTGCGTTGCCAAGTTTTCGCGGAAGAACACGTGAGATGCTCGAATGGGGAAGAAGACAACTTTGTAACGAATCTGAGAAATCGTCGACGGTGGTACACGACGACGTGTGAAGTTCTCAGTGACTACATATATGGCAACGTCCACGGTCACGGATCATTATAAGACTATCGAGAGGACTTCTCCAGACATTTCGGAACAAGTTCCTTTGAACGTCTGCGCGTTCAGCAATTTCCCGGACAAGTTTCAAGATTTCTTCGCGGAGCTCACCGAAGACGGCGACGACCTGCCCAGCATGCTCGAGGACAAGCTCATACCAAAGTAAATATAAAATAAAACACAACGCAGTTTTTCATAAAATTAATTTAAATTTAACTGAGAGAACGTACTTTCTTGTAAAGAAAAAAAAAAAAATAATACCGAGTATCTCTTCGTCGAAGCATTGAGAAATAGAATCTAGAAGGGAAAAAATAATTTGATGTGGAAATAGTAAAGTTAGGTTCATAAACATTTGGTAGCACAATATGAAAATATCTTCTCGCTAAAATATGAAGGAGTTAATTAATTGAAATATTTCTAGATCGGTAAATTTATTTTTGCAAAAGCAGAAACACAGTTTTAAAATATCTTTACTGAAATATTGGAGACTTGATTAAGCGCTAAATACAGAATTGCATGTTCCATCGATTGTTTCAGTATCATTAAATAATTATAAATAGAGGTGGGATCAAGGTAATGCGATTAAATTATAATCAACGACGGGGAGCATCGAAGCTTGTATTTATAGGAGCTTACCTAGCTGTCGAATCTCGATATTGTCACCGTGAAGGCATTACATGCGCGACTGCTTGAATTACGGATGTGTAATAGGCAAACGCATGGAACTTGCGAGCAGTTCGAACAATTCCGACAGTCGTAAACCGCGGTGCACAATAATCCGGTACCTAATGCCGTTCGCCGCCGCGCGGTAGAATCGGGAAATTCTGCAACTTTATCTCGAAATTACATTTCTGAATCGTGCGGATTATACGGATTGTTGCGCTTGTGTCGTCGCATTGGGGGTTCGCGGCATGCGACGAACGCGCGTGGGACGTCTTCGGCAGCGGTTGAAGCCGTTTGGGATTCCCACAATTCGATTAGAGCCTGTTGCGAAATGATTCCGCGTTACCTTCTCGCGCTTAATGAATAAATCTTCAGTCGGCTAAGTTTAATGCGAAGTGGAAACGACAGTAATTTGATTGACTGAAAATCAATGACGACGCCAATGGGATTTAACGGGCGCTGAAATCATCGAAAAGTCCATCGTTCGGACTGCGCAGCGAAGAGACACGCGCTCATCGTATCGTCATATTTTTTTTTTCGCAGGAAGCTGGACAGCACGAGCGTCGATGCGAAAGGCCGGCGATGGAACAAGAAAACTTTCCAGCGGCGGAGCAGCGAGGTGGAGGTCCGTTCGCATCACGCCTCGGGATCGCAGGGTCAGAGCAGCGTGGATAAACCGAAGTCGCCGATCCCCTCCCGACGCAGAAGTTGCAGCATCGCGGTTGCCAGACCCACGCCGGACTTGCACAGGTCGAGTTCCTCGTAAAAGTGATTAATCGTCGATCTGCATAGTCCGCTTGACGTTCGCGCGGCAATCAACCCGTCCAACGGGCGCTTAAATCTCAAAGCGCCGCGCGCTGCATCTTTTCAGCGCGTACGCGGAATATAAATTGATTGGAAAGTCGCAGATTTACGATGAGATGAAAATATCGCGCTTATAACACGCGCGTTAAATAACGCTAGCTCTATTTTCGCACCGATAGATTTCTGCAAGCGGAGGCCGGTCCCTGGGGTCACCTGTCGCCGTCGCCGAGAAGCCCCACCAGGACGCCGGTCATCAGTCCCGGCGCCGCGTCGTCGTCCTCGCATCTGAGCGCGGGCGCGAATTCCAGCGGGCCGAGCCCGACGAGTCCCTGCGGAGTCCGCGGACCGGGCCCGAAACAGTACCGCAACAGGACGAGCAGCATGCCGGTGGTTCCGCGTCACAAGGTGAGTTTGCGGTGTGCTTTTAAAAAATTTCTCACACGGAAGAGTCTCGTGCCGTAAAAGAATTTACGACCTCGGTTGGGCAAATAAATGTAACGGGGCGCGCGCGTACGATAAGACTTACATATGTAGGTCGGCGGCGCACGTGGCTGAGTTAATTTCCTCGGTTATTGTCGGCGATACCTCGGAACGCCGCCGAAAGGCTTTCTCTATGACGACGGAGGCGATTGGCGCGCATTCGCGAATTAAATTGGATGCGTGAGGCTGCTAAATGATACGGCCGAGCGCACAATAGAGCCGGGAATATTGTGACCCCGGCTGTTATTCTTCTCGAATTTCCTCGGAAACTCGCGTTACGCGAGTTTGTGGAGCGCGAAACTGAAAACTGCAAATCGCAACAACACGGCACGACGGCTTTGTCGCCGAAGAAACGATGATTTTCCGCGTCAATGATTAATCCATTCGTTTCTGCGTACCGCGCGGTGTACCGTTACATATATCGGGGCTTAAAATTAAATATCGTCAAGCCGACAATCCGTAATTAACGGAGATTTTTGTGCAAAATAATTAGTTTAATTAATTTGAGCGAAAATAGCCAGTTTATTTTATCTTCTTATTTTCAGGGAAATTCTTGAATTTTCATTCAATTTTCTGTGTACAATATTCTTACGTAAGATAGAAATACAATAGTTACTACTTTTTTTTTTCGAGTTTTCCAGTCGAGATCGACGAGTGTTAAATTTCAACGACAAACGCACGATATTTGCATAGCACAATACGCAGACGGGACAAAACTCATCGCGCGGAATTTGTCGGAAATTTTAGCTTCAAGCCTCGACATTGAGCGCTAATCCGACCTGGTGATCACCCCTGGTGATGTTCGCGCAGTCGATGTTGAATGAAAGAATTAACGTGACCCCGTCGTACAGCCTCTGCATGAGACTCGTGGCTAATTGGAGATCGGTATTGAACTTGAATCGCAGAATTGACTTTTCGGCAATTTTGCACTTCGCCGCGGCACCGACGGTCCACTTTTGCACGTCGCCTTGTGTCGCGTATATGCCGTTTGCCGCGACATCCAAGTCAGGCTTCACTGAACAAACAAGGAATCAAGATTGACAGAACGAAACAGCCCCGAGATTTTCAATGGTCGATTTGAAAAAAATAATTATACTTTTCAAGTTGAGACGTATTACATTGTCGATGTGCGATTTTAACGATAGCCGCTTGACAGCGGCACTTTAAACAAATAATTTGGAGCAAGGATATTGATGTGCATAGTTCTCGTCGCGCAATTCTCGCGCGAATTTAATAGTGTCGGCTTACAATCAGGCTTTGCTATGTGTCACTATCACGCGGCGCTGTCAGAAGCCCTTTGCATGCTAACGCAGCTAATTATCACCTCTACTCCGTTGAGGAAATTGATAACGTCGCCGTGACGTGCGCCGTATATAATATGTGTAAACGATTTGTATTATGCGTTCATATTCCGCCTATCTGGACGCAAAGCGACAGGATCTCATTACATTCGCTTGAATGAGGCACGTTTAAACCTCATTACTTAACGCGCGAGAGGCGGCGCGTACTTTAGCAGTTCCGTTCGTCGACGACGGGACTTCGCGACGCAAAGTAAGAAGCGAGGAATAAAAGAGGATATTACGGAGCAAACAGAAATTGTCACGGAAATGTTATCTCGCTCAAGCTATTACTTCAGCATTGCTAATTTCCCGGCGCGCACAAATAATTACGAATCCTTCTTTTATCTATAGTTCTGCAGCGACAAAAAAAAATTAGTAGAATAAAAAGGCTATAAGAATCAAATATCGCGGATATTAAGGAGAAAGTAAATTTTTTTTCCTTTTACCTTTGTAAGATACGGAGAGCCCGTACTCGTGCGGTATGCAGGCGCATCGAAAGTGAAAATCGACGTCGGTGCACCCGTAAACGAGACCCACGTCGTTCGTCGTCATTTTCTTCAAGGCGGTGTCGTAACCGGCTTGATAGCCCAAGAAGAGATCCCTGCACTTCACCACCACCGAGCCGAGCAGGCTGGTGCCTGAGTTGAGATCGTTCGCTGCGCAAAAAATGGGAAATTCGGTAATTTGCACGATGTGACATGTGACACGATTGGATTATTTTCGCGCGCGGAGCGACGCGATTCCCACGCGGGCGCGTCGCGCAAAACGATATTTCCCACGGAATCTACTCTTTTTTTTTCCCCCTATTGGAATTTAAATGGACGTCATCCACCTCGCTTTGCGCGAGTCGGGTGTTGCAAAATGTATTTTATCTCTCGGGAATTTGAGCGCGCGGCTTTTCTCAACTTGTCGTATCGGCAAAATACAATCCCGTCATCGCTGTCGAAACTACCGAATGCGCTGCGTATCAGTAGTCATCGTCGAAATCCCGTGTTTGCCCGGAAAGTCCGTGGCTTGTTAGTAAACATTTGAAATGCCGCGATGTTATTTCTGCAAAATTCACCTGATATTAGTTAGAAAGGAGTTTCCCCGCACGCGTATGTGGGTGAAATTATTTATTAAAGTTTCCCTCGATTGCAACATGCACGATTGTGGAAACGAATTTTGCCGGGGAGAAAGAGAGAGAGAGAGAGAGGGGAGGGGGGAGGAGAGAGAGAGAAGAAG